TTTCTTGATATTGAATATTGACCGTTGATCAAGGTGACTTGTGGAGTGAGAGATCTAAGTCATCCATTTCATAGATAGGTCATTAACATTATGGAATGTGCATGAACCATTATCTCCATTTCCTTAAACTATTTTCCCATCAATATATTTAAATAAATTAAATCTATTAAATATATCATGCATTCTATAAAATTGCATTATCCATCTCATATATTTCATAAGAATATATCAAGAAATATCAAGTTAATATTTACTATCTTAAATGGATAAGATATGGACAATATTTACTATATTACAAATTAACCATATGTCATAAGATACACTTTCCATATTTAAATAACTTGAACACAAAGCTATCAAAAAGGAATCCAAAGGGGTGTGGCGTGCCACCCTTATGTGGCACATGTGGGCCCCCACCCACATGCCACATGGTAGGCCTATATGCATTATGGGCCCTCATGGAATTTTTTTAAAAAAATTTAATATATATTTGAATTTTTTATAACTTTTTAAAATCAATAACTGCATTTTTATAAGTAAAAAAATCATAAATAAAATATTGAGAGATTCATAAAAATTCAAATAATAAAATTAAAATCATTTTAATAATAAAATGACTACAATTAAATTAATATGCTGAGAAAATGATCCATATGGTTTTAGAAATTCAATATGGAATTATGTGGTACTCCACCTTCAACTGCGGACTACAGACCACACTTATTTTATCGAACCGACCCAGTGTTTCCCATGACCCACAGTCCAAGAAGGGGCTCATTAGCGGGTCACCAAAGTCTACCCGATGAGTCAAGGGGTTGCAATCCCAGTCTGTGGATTACAGGTCTTCCTCTAGAGACGAGTCACGGTCACCACGACCTGATGCGACCACAGCTTTATGGTTCACAGGGGTATCTCTCGCACATGCATACGCTTCACCCAAAAGGTGGATAACTGGCTTTCCTGAACAATCTATCGATATGCACACCATGTGATGGCTCATGGATGAGGTTTGGGTTCTTGTCTCTGTAGGCCTACCATCACACACAAGGGTCATACAGTCCCTCGGTTCACTCATCTAGGCATAAGGTCCGACCTCATCAAGGGCTAACCCAGAGACCCTTCTCGGTTTATTCTTTATGCCCAGGTACCTTAAGTTTTTCAACCGACTGGATTAGATCGTCAAGCACAGTCCGGTATCAACAAACATCATTTGCTTAGTATGGTCATCGAGGGACCACACTCCTACTGAATTTTTATATGCCACTATAATAAATGTTTTTCATTAGACACTTATAAAGCCTTTAATGGCTAAACAAAAGTGTATTGCCCCTGTGTAGTATCTAGAGAAAAAGGAACATACCCCCGCTCTATATCTCAAATAAATATTCAAGTTAGAAAGTCCACGAACCCTCTCCAAGTTAGAAGGAATGGATGTTTAACTCCCTCTAAATATTTTTTTATTGTCTAAATTACAATATTTATTTTATTTTTTCTAATAAGCGCATCATCCCAGCAAAACGCCCCCTCTTTCTCTCTCTTTCTCATCCAAATTTCATTATATAATAGGATTATTTAGGAAAAAAGAGAGAGTCAATATTGTAATCTAGACTATAAATAGATTAGACGATAGCTAAATGTCATTTTTTTATAACTTAGAGCGGTTATGGAGTATCTGTATTTTTCGACATTTTTTTAGCCCAACCAAAGCAATTGAAAATAGTGTAGACCAACATCAAACACAACTTAGCTTGTAATACCAGGTATCAAAGTATGTTTTTATATGGATTACTACAAATTTAAGTGTCAAAACTGGTCCCTTTTAAAATTATAACATGAAGAGGAACCTCTTTTTTCTCGGATTGGATTACCTGTGAAAGGAAGCATTTTTCTCCTTGGTATGGAGATCTGAATCCCGATACCCTTCAAATTTATTCCAACACTGAGTCTTTTCAATATTCTAAGATTAAATAAAAATAATAGGGGTGAAAATGTATTTTGCCATACCTTTATTTTGTAAACTTGCTATATACAATTATCATGTCTCTTAGAATTGTCTTGGACTTTCTCGAAATTTGGATTTATTGATTTTTTTCTTATATTGTTTTCAAAACAAAAGAATTTACTTTCTTAGAAAATGAGCATACAATTGTTTTACCAAATTATGCCATCAAAATATATGGTGGAAGCATAAATTGATAACATTTACACTCTTTGTTTGGTAAATAGACGTCCTCATTGAAGTCCATCAAAGCCATTTAGCAGCTGATGAACAGTTGGTTTCATCTTGGCTTTTTAATGATTAGTGGTTGAGAAAACATTTAGCATATTGTTTGTGTGGTAAATGCTAACTATATTTTACAAAATATAAAGCCATAATTTAAAAAATATTTATTTATTTAAGTTATGTTGGCCACGATAATGTGATACCCTCTATATAAGACGACAATCTCCAACCACAGAAGTCTACCATATACGGTGGAGATGATATATAGCTCTGTTTGATTGACACTATCTGACTCTGCATGGCTGAAAATGATAGGCTTTGTACCAAACTACAAATGAACTTCACCAATATGTTAAAGGCAAGGCCTTGAATGGTGAATCAGGATCCAAAATAACTCAATCCTTTGAATCTTGAGAAGCCCCTATCTTCCTTTGAATATCTTGGATCATAGGATTTCTATTGAATTTATTCTCAAATTTCTCTTAAAAAAGGAACCCCTTCTCTATGTTTGATATCTCACATGATTTTATTATGACGTTTTACTTTCCAACATCCAAAATTTCTCTTTCAGTCCTAGCATCTTTCTGCTCTTTTCGTAATTCATCTCACTATATCTCTCCCCAGGCTTTATAAGTCGTATCTCGCCCCTTCGTCACCATTCTTTCTGATTGAGGAATTTCTCTTTTAATCTTGGGAGCCCATGAATTGCCCGTTACTAGGTAAGAAAGAGTGTGCACACGGGCACGCATGTAAGTGTGCACATCTGTGTGTGTATGTTGCATGTATGTGTGTGTGAATGTGTGCGTCTGTATCTGTGTGTGAGGTAGGTTTGGGCTCTCAAATGAGAAAATTACGCATAAGTTCTATATTTTTCTCCAGAGTTCGATTGGATTGGATGGAGTTCTTTTATTATTTATTTGTGACCTATTTTTTGAGGCATCGTAATGCTGAATTCCTACTAACTCTTATTTTGCAGGTCATTCCACACATTCATATTTATGTGAATAGTACAAGACATACAGAGACATTCTTACGTCACTTCCTTACTCGCACAAAAGTAGTATGCAAAATGCCTAGAGCAATGATAAAGCCGAAGAGATCCTCAAAGAAAGGAAAAAGCACATCAGCTATAATAGAGAGGTGTAATTCTGATCGTTTAAGTGGATTACCACAACCAATAATTCATTTAATTCTCTCATTCTTACCCATTAAGGAGGCGGTAAGAACAACAATTTTATCAACAAAATGGAAACATGTTTGGTGTTCGATGCCTTATTTAGATGTCAATTTGAAATCCATGTAACCAAAAAACTTCCCTTATCGTAAACCTTCTGAGAAACATGACAGATTCATCAATGGCATAGATCATATTGTTTCTCATCGTTGCGAAACAATCCAAAGGTTTAGGATAGAGGGCGACTTGTACCACTGCAAAGACTTTGTAGATTTATGGATAAACGGGGGTATAGCTGAAGTTATTCTTTCCAACAATCAGTCTCAAGACGACCTTAACCAACTTTATGATGTGCCTTTTTGCTTACTTTCTTGTAATTCATTGAGATTGTTGGAATTAGTTAATTGCAATCTTACTCCTCCATCCAATTTTAAGGGTTTCAGCAACATTCGGACTCTCAAGCTCAAAGGTTGCATAGGTGATATCAAGTTGCTTCAAGATATTGCTTCAAACTCTCCATTTCTTGAGACCTTGGAAATCTGTGATAGTGTGTTACCACCCTTTTCCACATTTGGTGAATTTTGTAGAGTCAAATATCTTTACCTTAGAAATTGTAAACTACCAAAGACCTTCATTCAGAGTATAGCCACAAAGTCTACTCTCCTTGAGCATTTATTGATTGATGGTTGCTACGGTTTCGAGCATCTTGAGGTTTGTCTTCCGAATCTTGTAGTATTACATGTTACCTCTAAGGTCACAATTCATCTTATGAATACTCCACGCCCTGAGGAGATTACGCTTTCACCTTATTTTAGTGGACTACAATATCAAACGAATTACAATTGGCAACTTTTTAAGCATGATGTCTTTCGGGGTGATGTGGTGCGCGTTAAAACCCTTTCCCTCGGATCTCGCGTTATGTTGGTACGTGCTTGTTTCTTGATATTCTTATCTTAGTTTCTTATTGATTATATAACTATACCATTACTGACTAAATATTTTGATTTCTTGATTCTAGGGCTTGAGTTCAGTTGGTCTTTTCCAGTTTTATAATTTGAGCAAGTTGGTGGTTGGTGTTTACCCAAGTGGGGGAATGGAGAGAAACATAGTTTCTAAATTGCTCAGCAGATCTCCACATCTAAAGATACTCATAATTGCTGTTAGTTTTCTTGCTCTCTAAATGCCCACTTTGTATTTTTAATTGTCTTTACTTTGGTCTTCTATGATTAGTCATTGTATTTGCAATGTGATTATCACATAAAAGAGAGAGAGAGAGAGAGAGAACAAATGAGGGCAATCCATAGGGATTTTCGATATTGATCAAGGGTTTAGGACTTTAGGCTATTCAAGTTCTGAAAACTTTGGTCTATAGTGTTTATTTCTCACTTACTTTATTTTCATGATTTGTGTAGGATGACCCTATCAAGTATTCATATTGTTACTATGAATCAGACAGCTTTTGGGAGACTGAAGGACCTTTCGATTGCCTCAACGATCATCTTGAGACCATACATATATCGCTACCAAGAATCTACCCCTTAGATGAAGCATCTACAAGGCATTTTTATGATACAGACTTTGTGAAATTTTTGCTCGTCAATTCACTTGTGTTAAAGAAAATGAAAATCAGTGTGACTCCAACAAAATATATGAAGGAAGAAAGGAAAGTGATCATGAGGGATCTGAGGCAAGTCGAATGGGCATCTTCCCAAGTAGAGTTAATTATTTCTTGAAGTTATGGATGATTTTGATTTATTGAAATGCTTGGACATTATTATTTTTCTAGTGTCACATTACATCACTCAGTGTTAGTAGTTTTCTTTTGGATGACAAACAGTGAAGAAAGTCATCAATCTTTATGTAAGGAAAAGCCTCGACAAGGTGACTCCTTTTTTCTATCTTTATGAAACCGTCTTAAGTCCTTTATACTGTTTTCGTTTTTGCCATTAGTCCTTCATTTAACCCACTGAATTTAGAATTATATCCATAGGCCTCCAACCCATTCATTGGGATGATGATATTCTAATATGAAGTTCGTAAAACTTACATGTGAATGCATAATGTGTAGACTATCTTTTAAGGGTTTAAGTCGGCTGGGCTTAGGCAGAATTAGCCCTAGTTCCCGAAGTTATTTGGCCCTAATTATGAAGAACCGATCCAACCTGGTGGGCCATAAAGGGGACCAGACCAGCAATGGGAATTTAAGGTCCACAACTAGCCGACCTTATTACAAATTAAATAGTTGAATATTGTAACAAAATCATTGAAAGGAATCAAATGATCATAATTAACATTAGAGGAGTTACCTTTATTTTTTTTTATTTTTTTTCACTTTTCTTAAGAGGCTGCTCAAAAAATGAGAAAAATACCCTGTTCAGGATGGGGAAGGATGAACACATGTCAATAATTTTACCCCCCTAAGATGCCCCAACTAGAGTGTTGTGCAAGCAAAATCTTCATGGGAGAAAACCTGGTTTGGACATTCCCAAACATTTGATTAGAGATTAATGTTGCTTGCTTTTGGGGTTGCATAGGCACCGGAAGGTCTTGTCGAAAGGCAGGCAATGCTCAAGACCTTATTGGTTAGTCCCTTCAAAAGTGGCTTCATAAGGATAAAATGAACCCCACTTTTAAATTCTGTAATCCATTTAAACCACAATACAATGTTTTCAACGGCTTCCCTCAATCAGTTGCAAAAATTGCAATATCCTTTGAAAAGTTTCCAAGGCACGTACTAAATCACATCCTGCCAAAGATCACAAGTCCGTGATTGCTGAACGTTTTTCACACCAAAGGGTATGGCCCCAAGCCATAAAATGGTTGCAGAGGTCCCATGTCATAAGCAACAATACATATTCTCAAATTGCAGAGGCATATCCTCTGTCTAAAAGGTGTGAGCAAGAAGCATAAAATGCCATTCAAATAATTGATGTTTATGAAAAGTTACAACCACATGAGGCTTCTCAATATACAACTGAAAAAGAAATAAGCATGTCATTGTTATTGATTATTATGACGAATCTGGGAAGACCATCCACAAATTAATTAAGAAAGAGAAGAAAGGAATGTATAACATACCGTCTGCTACCATGAACAGATGGTGAGGATGAACCATATTCTGATTTGATAAACAAGGTCAATATTTAACAAGCCTACTGTTCGTATCCACCAATAGTTGACAAGGACTGATGATATAAGTATTATTTTCCCAAAAAAGAATACTACAAGTCCGATATCCTAACATGTGATAAAAAAGTGGAGCGATCCAGCACATGCAATGAATCAATCAAGTGATTGCGCAGAGAGGAGGGTCCATTTGCCTTGCTCATCCCAAGCTCCCCTGCCACCCCAAAAACAGCAAGGGCAGAGGCTGTGGCCTCAAATGGATGCTCTACGTTTGATGCAATGAATGCTGAGATGAGAGCTGTGACTGCACAACCAGTTGCAGTGATACGCTGCATCATAGGCACACCATTGTGCACACCTACCACTTGCGTACCATTGGTGATGATGTCTATGGCTCCAGAGACAGCCACGATGGTTCCTTTGGTTTGAGCTAAGGATTTAGCTGCTTCTACTGCATCCATTGATGAGTGGTTGCTGTCCACTCCCTATGGATCCAAGAAAAAGATGAAGAATGGCATCACTCAGGTCTAAGTAGGCTAAATAAAATGCATGTAAATTTACATTTAATGGACCTAGATGGCATCTAGATGACCAGACTAACCTACAAAATGGCCATTCAGTATCAAATGAGTAAAACAGGAGTAAATTTCTGTTGAACTGATCCAAATGATTTAAAACAATCAAATAGGCTGCCACCCCGGCATTGACCAACCAAAGTTATGACGTCCAGTTAAAGGTTTAACGTTTGCGAATTATTTAATTTGGGAGACCTATTTCCTGTTTTCCTTATATAATATAGGAACTTCACAAAGCAATTACATGCATAATTAGAAAAACTAAATATGAAAAAAATACATATATATGTGTTTTTTTAATGAAAAATACATATGCATGCGTTCAACATTGACTCATAAAAATAACAAAACCGAGAAACGACTACATGAATTTAGAGCTAAATTGATACTTTCTTAACTCCAAATTTACTGATTTTATCACTACAAGGTGGAATGCAAAACATGGCGAAGAACTTATTGCCAACCTGATAAATCTTTTCTGTTGGTAACTGTATTTCATGTTTTCCTCATAAGAAGGCTGAACCATTCAAGTGTACCTCTACATTCTACCCTAGTAAAAAAGAATAAGCCAAGATATCCCCAATTTCTAGTAAAATCCATTGACAAAAAAATGTACAGATTATCAAAATCATATTAGATTAGCCACATGTACTTTGTGGTTGGGACCCACAATTGTGAATATCTATCTGCTAACAGGTTATTTCAACACATGACCTGACTACTTGACATTTCCTTTATCTTTAATTCTTTTGTCCATCTGGTTGGAATGGAAGTAAACCAGATTGGACCTAATCAGCCTGTCAAGGTTTTAAAGGCTGTGTTCGTTACGAGTTAAGGAGGCTGCTCAAATAAATTTTGAGATCCTACACATTTGGCCATCTATAGGACATCATACAACCATAGTTTTAAAGATCATAAAGGCCCTAATCCTTTCTATTGGCGCTTTCCCATTTTTTACAATGGGAAAATAGAGAAGTTGCAGATCTATTGCATAAATTACCTCGAACAAATGCAGCCTAAAACATCAGTTCCTCACCTGGATTTTAATGAAGCATGTCAATGGGAGACCATAGGCATTTGAGATAGGTACATACATATGAATATTGAATAGTAAATTTCTGAAGTTCATTTCGTTGGTTTCTGTAGAAAAATTTCACTCCTCCTACAACTCCTTAATATCCTTTTGTTGTACACTTAAAACCCTTAATAAGGCTAAGATATGTTGCAATTTTTTTTTTTTAAAGAAAAAAGGACTAAGATATGTCGCAAGGATTCGTAGTCCACTAATCATTTCCAACATCCAAGTAAAAACTTAGGGGACGTTCCCCACTTAATATGCAGAAATCCTTAAGTATCCTCTGCCATATCATCCATAATTGAGAAAGAATCCATTGAGATTAATACATGAATCCATTGAATGCCAAAACAAAGATGGGGAGAGGAATGTGGCAGAAATCCATTGAATCCAGACATCCCTAAGTATCCTCTGCCATATCATCAATAATGGAGAAAGACTCCATTGAGATTAATACATGAATCCATTGAATGCCAACCAAAAGATGGGGAGAGGAATGTGGGGCAGTTGATGCTCTAAGGAAGCAAGATTCTTACTAAAGACCAAAGTTGGCTGCCCTTGACCAGAATCATTTTGAAAATATGGACATCACTTGGTTGCCAGGAAACAAAGTTGCTTTTCTATGGTTTCATTTAGGTCTTTCGGTTTCCTAAACATACCTGTATGTACAAAAATAATGAGAGAAATAGGATTGCATATGGAAAAGTTAAGAAAATTGAGAAATATAGTAACATCTTAAACTTTTAAAATTTTTGTATTGGTAACGTCATAAAACATTCTAGTAATATATAAGTGCAATTTAACCACTTAATTCTTCATATTTATCTACAGATTAGTGGATGTCATTTAAACACCAGTTAACAATTTGACATAATTCACAAACTTAACAATTATAAAGAAAATAGAAACCACATAACCAAAACAGCATATATTTTAGTTTGAAATGCCTGTCTAAAATTTAAAAAGTTCCACTCCTAATAGAGAGGTACCATAAATATTAAAGGTATCAGCTATGTATGCTGATAGGTTATCGTAACAAAGACTGACACAACCATCTCATGGTTACTTATCAGGAAAAGAAAATATGTCTCTAAATTCTTATTATAAGGAATTTGAACTAAGACAACCATCAAAGCTCCTGAATAGGCTTTAGTTCTTTCAATTCTCAAAGTAAATCTTAAAGTTATAGCTAGCCAGGTAATACTCCTTGCTTATTTCCATAAAGAAATATCAACCATTCCAAAGCTATCAACAAGTTTTGAAAAGCATCGGTATCCTAGAGGAATTGTACTTTCACCTTCCTTGCTTACGGGAACCATGTATAATGTTTGAAACTTCATAAGCACAAAGTATCCTCACCCATACTGCCCACGATCTACAACAATTCATGATGGTTCAGATCATATTTTGGAAGGACAATAGGATCAAGGAATAGTCACCCAAATAATCCTTCCCCAACCATTTTGTCACATTATGAAGAAAAGCCTCATTCTTGAGAGCAATGCCTAAGAAACTGGTGACATGGGCTCGGATTCACCCAAGTCACTCAGATCATGCAGGGTACCAAGTATAGATGGAAAAGGTCAATAGGCAGGTGAGTCTCACCTAGAGTCCCAGCCAGCATTTGTAGTTTTATAAAGACTCAGCCTAGTCGGACAGCTGACTCCGCCAAGTTGGTCGACAATTCGGGCTTGGGACCATGGCGAGTCTGAGCCCAAGTCCTTTTCTTAAACACTGCTTCAGAGTCACTTAAATTCAGGATAAGGCATTTTGTAGTAGCATCCATGGAGAAGTAATGACAAGTAATAGATTCGAAACTTAACATGGTACAACGATTCTAGAAAAGGTAATTTCTGAGCACATCAGTGGCCAGTCACAAAAGGTCACCAAAAAAGATAGAATAGAAATAAGCAAGAGGCTAATAGCATGAAGCTCCAATTAAGCTCAGCATGTAGTTAGAGCCTAATATAACTCAAAGTCTCAAACCAGTTTTCTAAACTCGCTCAGCTTACTCAACCCAAATTCTTCTAAACATCTGTTAAGCTTTATTAATCGACAATCATCAATCCATCATCGATTATTATATGAATCCCTTAATTTATGAGCTCTAAAAAGAATTATTCCCCACTAAAAGCATGTAAGGCATGCAGGTTTCAAACGAGAGAGAGAGAGAGAGAGAAATACATAAAAATCAAGACAGAAAGAGTCCAAATTACCTTGTTGGGGCCTGAAAAACCGTTAGAAAGAGCAAGAATTTCTGAAGCATTGCCTCGAATAACAGTGGGTTTGAGGTCCACAAGTTCATTACAGGCTTGCAATCGAAAAGGAGAAGCGGAAACAGCAACAGGGTCCAAAACCCATGGCTTGGCCGATCGAGAAGCTTCAATGGCAGCCGCCTTCATGGAAGGCAACCACTGAGGAGTGAGAGTACCAATGTTTATGCAGAGGCCATGGACATGTGGGGTGAAGTCGGGTATCTCTTCAAGGGCATGAATCATTGCAGGAGAAGCACCTGCGGCCAAAAGGGTGTTGGCCATCAGGTCCATGGACACAAAGTTGGTTATGCACTGAATTAGAGGAGACCCACTTCTTAAATTGCAGAGAAAATCCCATGCCTTTGCACCCCATTCTTCTTTTTCACAAGGAGAACTCGGCATCGGCTTCTTCCTCTCCCACTGCTTCCTTTCTTTTGCAGTCTGAGGAAAAGAAGAAGATTCCAAATGATAGAGAGAGGAATACGGCTCAAGAATATGGAAGAGAGAGAGGAATACGGCTCAAGAATATGGAAGAGAGAGAGGAATTCGGTTGAAGAATAAGGAGCAGAAAGAGAGGAAAAAGGTTGACGAATATGGATTGTTTCAAAAACACAAGATTTTTACAGGGCAAAAAATCTCATCAAAGGGGTAAAAGGAGATATTAAATAAGGGTGCAGTTGGCATATGGATGCATCCGCAGGTGTAAAGGTCAGGTGCACCTTCAAATTTTATGATGGTATATAATTTTGATGTAAAATGTTAAATTTTATTTTTATATTTAATTATAAAATTTAAAATTTAAAAAATGGTTAAAATCAAGTACAACTATAAACATAATAAAATCTTGAAAATGGATAGTATAGATAATATGTTGTAAAATGTACTATTTTTTAGACTTAAAATCTTTTTATTTTTCATGGTCATATATTTCGACCCCGAGATGATCAATCAAGGGGCTTTTCAATATTAAAACTACTTTTTCCGTTAGATTTTTGAGGTGCATCGTAGTTCTACATTATAAGGTTGCATCCTTCTATAAACTTTTTCCTTAAATAAAAGGCTGAAGTTTGTATAAGGTGCACACCTGTATAAATAAGGTTTGGGTCTAAAATTGGAAAATGGTGCCGTTGGTATATAGCTGAGCCTCTAAACAATCAAATTAGAGCCCACCTTGAAATAATGCAGAGAAATGTGGTTTCAATACTGGAAATCTTTTACTAACCTTAAAATATGTTGTCATATTTAATTATAAAATTTAAAGTTTAAAAAATGGTGTAGATTTAGCAATCTATACAAACTTGAATAACTTAAAAATTGACGGTCCAAAAATGCGTTACAAGATACACTATTTCCAAAACTTGAATCCATTTTTTTCTTAAGTCCATGCATGTTGATGTCGAGATGATCAATTTGATGATATTTGGGCATCAAAACAACCAGTTCTAGTGAAATTTTTGAAGTAGCATTTAATTTGATTATTTAAAGCCTAGGCTCTATATAAATTTTTCCCCTTTGGGAAATGGTTTGATAGGGGAAAATATATATTCAGTTTCAATTATGAAATTTAAAATTAAAAAATAGTACACATCGAGTAGATCTTTTGATACTTGAAAATTTAAAAAATAACATGTTCACATAACTTGTTGTGAGATGCATTAATTTAGAGTTTGAAATTATGTTTTTTCCTTATATCTATACATCTCAACTTCATCTCAAAGTCGAGATGATCAATTGGAAAGTTTTACTAGATTTTTGAAGTGCACCTTAACTCTACAATATAAGGTAGCAACCTTATATAAACTTTTTTCCAAATAAAAAGGATTAAAACGACGTACACTGGGGGCTATGATTTGATCCACGTGGTTGTATAGATATCCATCATCATGGGCAGTGATCGAAAGGAAGTGGGTACTGCCACTTGACAGTCACTGTTGGATTATTTTCTGTCTCTCATAAGACGCCATCATCGTTCGATTGAATGGTGATGCGAGTTGCATCCATCAATTTTTCTATGATAATAGGGACCATGGTGTTTCGCTTGGATGCTTCTTGATAAATTTTTTATAAATTAAAAAGAAAAAATTTGCAAATAATTCCAAGATTATACTTTTTATGCAAGTTACCCCAATTAAAATTTTTGTCTCATTTTTTTCACCAATATATATTTTTCTAGCAAATAAAAAAAGGCACTTTTTATTAGGGAAAATTGTAAACTCCCCCAATAATAGACTTTTACGCACTTTACCCCATCCAACTTTTCTTAGCAAATACCCCATACAAATGTTTATTATTATTATTATTTTTTGACGAAAATACCATTCCCTCATATAACAAATTATTTTTGTTGGAAAGGGCCGTCTGGCATTTTGAACCGGCGATACGACGATTATTTTTGCATGTCAGGTCGCGAGTTTTATGGTGGCGGTTCGACAATTATTATTTTTTGCTGGAATGGGGGTTAGGCATTTCAAAATTGCGGTCCGCATTTTGAAGGGGCAGTCCGACGTTTGATATGGCGATCTGGCATTTTGAAGGGGCAATCAGTGTTTTGAAGTAGTTGTCCAGCATTTTGAAGTGAGAAGTTTCATGTTGTTCAAGTATTATTGGTATCTGAAAATGATTGGTTACATGAAGGAAGGGTATTTTTGTTAAAAAAAAATTAACTTTAGACATAAGGGGTATTTGCTAGGAAACATGATTTTTTTTTTGTAGGAAGTTGGTACGAAAAGTTGGGTGGGTAAAGTGCGTAAAAAATCCATTTTTTGAGGGGTTCTGCAATTTTTCCTTTTTTTTTTACCAAAACTACTCTTTTTCATACATGAAAATTTAATTTGGGCTAGACATTCATGTGGGCTTACATGGGCGGCTGGAACGCTATTTGAAATTGCCAAACCTTATTAAACTAAAAAAAGTGTTCGACTACTAATTGACATTACCGGATTGCACTTTGGGCTTGTTGTTGGACCGCATGGGCATATTGTCATAATGCTCTTTGGTGATGCTCGACCGCATAGGCCTATTGCCAAACTATTCTTTGTTAGTGCCGGGCCGCCACTTGTACTGCTGGACCGCCACTGTTATTTACCAAATGGACATTACACTGTCAAATCGCCTTAAGAATACACTAGACTGCCTTTTCGTGGAAAAGATGAGAGAGAGACTATAAAAATAAGAGAGGGTAGTTTAGACTTTTTTTTTTTTTAATTGTTTTTTGGGCCGAGGGTATTTATTAAAAAGTATGGTTTCTATAAGGTTGAAACCTTAAACAATCTAATTAAAGTGCACCTTAAAATTTTATTATAACATGGAATTTTGTTGTAAAAAATACTTAGTATTATCTTAAAATCTATTTTCATACTTAATTAAAAAATTTTAAATTCCAAAAATGGTTAAAATCAAATAGATCTATAAATATATGAAAATCTAAAAAATGAAAGGTCTAGATAATGTGTTGCAAGATGCACTATTTTCTAGACTTAAAAATATTTTTTTTTCGTACTCATGCATCTCGATATCAAGATGATGGATTAGAGAGTTTTTTCAAGATTAAAACTAACATTTCCGATATATCTTTGAGCATCTCGATATCAAGATGATGGATTAGAGAGTTTTTTCAAGATTAAAACTAACATTTCCGATATATCTTTGAGGTGCATCTGTGATTCACCTTATATAAACTTTTCCTGTTATTAAAAAAGAATTTATTGGGATGAAAAGTGATGCGGTTACCTGTAATGTTTCCATTCACGGACCAAATTCAAATACTTTGTTGTTGGTATCATATAATACACAAAAATACAGCGAGTACGAGTACCAGAACCAGAGCCAACCACCCAGTCTTAGAGCGAGAGAGCGAGGCGTCACCATTTCTTGGGGGAAAGAAGAGAGAGAGAGAAAGAGAGAGAGGAGTCACCATTTCTGGGGAAAAGGAGAGAGAGAGAAAGGAATCACCATTTCTATTTCCCAGAGGGAAAGAGGAATCACCATTTCCATTTCCCGCTTCACATCCATATCCAGAGAGAGACCCAATTTCCCACTTTACACCACCAATCGACACCCACGGCAGAGAGAGAGAGAGAGAGAGAGAGAGAGAGAGAGAGAGAGAGAGAGAGAGAGAGAGAGAGAGAGAGAGAGAGAGAGAGAGAGAGAGAGAGAGAGAGACGACGACGTACGACGTACGTACGACGTACGTACGTACGTACGTACGTACGTACGTACGTACGTACGTACGTACGTACGTCGTACGTCGTACGTCGTACGTCGTACCGTTACCGTCCGTACCGTACCGTTACCGTTACCGTTACCGTTAACCGTTACCGTTACCGTTACCGTTACCGTACCGTACCGTTA